GGGGCAGCTTCCTCGGGAGGCTCCCGGACTCCGGGGCTCGGCCTCACAGCCCGAGCCAGGATTTGGACTCAGATCAGGCAGGAGAGCGGGTGCTATGTTTGGAGAGAGACTGGGGGACGGGCCAGCTCCACCTGGCACCCCTCAAAGGTAGAGTTTTGTCTCTGGAAGGAAGGGGTTAACCAAGACCTCCTCTGCCCTTCAGGGGCCCCCAGGAAGTAACTGCCACCCGGTGACCATTCAAAGGTCTTCCGGACTGAGCGGGAGGGACGTTTACATGAGTGATCAAGAAAGGGAGGCTGCTGGCCAGAGAGGGGGGCACACGGGGAGCCGGGTGGGGGGGCCCCCGGAAGATTGTGGCCTCTGAGCTCACGCGTGTGCCCCGAGGGGCAAGGACAGACTGAGGCCCAGCCCAGTGTCCCCAGCTGGCGAGCGGCCAGCCGGGCCTGGTTTCAGACACTCCGGAGAGACCCAGAGGTGTGAGCCGAGGCACAGGGAAGGGCTGGGGGACACGAGTCAGGGACGCTGACCTGCGAGGCCGTCCAGTGGGAAAGAGGCTTGTTCTGCAGGGCGGGGAGCAGAAATTTCTGGAAGGCAGGGTCTGTTCTGTTCCTGGTGTTGCACTGGGGCCAACGGTAGACAGGGCTGTCTGGGTGCACGCGGCGGGTCCCTGTGCGGGGTGTGGACTCGCCCACAGACACTAAGGAAGGTGTGCGATGGGCAGGATGGGATGAGCCTGGAACCTTCCAGCTGCCTGGGCTTTTCCTCACCTCCCCCCAGAGCAAGTCCAGTGAGAACCTAAAGGGTGAGTCACGCTCTGCAGGTGACAGAGGGAAAGGGGACAGCAGAGGACCCCGATCCTGCTCAGAGTTCCTCTCACCGCAGTGGATGGAGGCCCACGGGGAGCAAGTCTGCAGGGCCAAATGCAGAGTCCGGGGCGCAGGGCACATGCCCAAGGGCCGGGGGCCTTCAAGTCTGCCTGTGACGCCCACATCCCAGCCCAGGGATGGCGCAGGCCCTGGTCCCACTGGGGACGTGTGAGTAGAGGCGGTGGAGGGCGGGGCCCTGGAAGGCGGGGAAGGTGGCTCATGGGGGCTGCTAAGGGCCATTTCCTCATCGCAGCTCATTAGTCTTTTCCCAAAACACATGGACTGTCCCCCACAACCACCCTACTGGCACCCTGACACACACGCACGCACACACAGTGCAGACTGGGTGGAGAGAAGCTTCCAAGCAGTTAGAACGTTAGTTACATCTTCCAGGGGTTTCTGGGGAAGACGGGCCCCAAGTCCTGGGAGGTCAGGGTGAGGTGACACCCTTGAGCCAGCTAGACCCCAGAAGCACTGCAGCCCAGGCTCTGAGCCACAGACGGGGGCTGGGGATGTGGTGACAGAGGGACACACACACACAGAGATGGCAGGGACAGGCACAGGGTGAGAGAGATGCCCTGTCCCTGCCAGGCCCTGTGTGGCCCATGCTGTGGCCTGGGGACCACAGGGGACTCCAACCCCCACCAGTGAGCCCGCTTCCTCCTGTGACAGAGGAAGGTGGTGGGGCTGCCTCACCCAGCGGAGGTGCCACTAACCACAGGCTTTGTGTGCTGGGTGTTTTCGGCAGGTTTCCTGCAGTTGGGGTAGGAGGTGAGAGCAGGGGCCCCGAGAGGCCTTCATGCAGTGGAGGGACCCCTCCCACGTGGTCTGCGTGCCCCCCACCAGCCAGCCCACAGGGGCCTGCTGACATGGCACAGCGGCCACACCCGCGCCCCCGCCTCCCAGGGCCTGGGCTGCAGTGGTGAGGGCCGGGGGGCCGGGACAAAGATGGGGAGCTCGCCTCCCTCCCAGTTCCCACCTGTCCCCACCTGCCGTCTCTTGTCTCCATCCTGCCCAGACCCTCTGAATCCTTCCTTTCAGAATTCAGCCCGTTTGGTTAAAGTTCCCTTAAAACGGAGAATTCTCAGAACGGGGGCCCCTGGGCTCACAGCCCGTTTCCAGAGCAGCCTGTGGAGGTGCCAGCCCAGCAGGGCCCCCACGGGTCCCTCAGACACTTGTCATTTAGAAGAGGGGCTGCCGCAGGCTCCACCGGGGGCCGTGGAGAGGCAGGTTCTGTGTCTCCCCCAGCAAAGCAGCCGCCTCCCCAAAACTTCGTGGGGCCCTCGGCCATTGAGAAAGTGTCTGTGGATATTTGGGGGCCACATGAACTATTTACAAAGTGCCCTGGTTTTCTAGCCAGAGCTGTCCTTTCCAGGCCTCGGGGAACAGCCTCCTTCCCTCTCCGGGTCCTTACTGTTCATAACAGGGAAAGTGGGGGAACCTCCGGGGAGTAGACGCCGTGGTACCCAGAGCCGGCCTCCGCTGTCTGCCCTGGGGCAGGTCACTTACCCCCTGTCCCAACTTCACTGGGCCCTCCTAAGGCTCTGCTCCCATCACCTGCTCAGCTGGAAACACCTGCCCACCAGGACCTCAGTGAGGAGGTGGCCTTGGCCCCTCCCACCGTCCCTGTGCTGGGCGGGGCTGCCCCAGATGTTCCCCCAGATGCTGCTGCTCCCATGGCTGAGATGGGACCCCCGGGGGGCGCTG